AGAGCTCTTATTTGACACCGTCCCAAGTTACTGTAACCGTTATATGCTACGCAAGTCTTTTTTTATGCCACGCAAGTCTACAGTGTGCACGAGACAATGTGTTCTTCTTTTGCCTTTAACAGCTTTTAGGTGCGTTATTGGCAGCGCCACCCTCTGCTTACACCACCGCATCAGTACGGAAAACATGGGGAAATTTTTAAGACAATAATCGCGAAACCTATTCAATATTCTATAATTAAATCAACTAATCGAATATTCGAAAATCATGACCCACCCCTAAGATAAATACAATATAACAAAGTTACAAATAAAGTAAGGTCTCTGTACTCGTGTACAGATATGCCCATGTAATAATTTGGCCTAAATAATAATAATAATAATAATTCCTTACATTTATATAGCGCTTTTCTGGGCACTCAAAGCGCTTTACAGAGAAGGGGGAAATCTCCTCATCCACCACCAGTGTGCAGCATCTACCTGGATGATGCGACGGCAGCCATATTGCGCCAGAACGCCCACCACACACCAGCTTATTGGTGGAGAGGAGACAGAGTGATGAAGCCAATCAGCAGATATGGGGATGGTTAGGAGGCCATGATGGTCAGAGGCCAATGGGCGAATTTGGCCAGGATGCCGGGGTTACACCCCTACACTTTTTCGAAGGACATGGGATTTTTAATGACCACAGAGAGTCAGGACCTCGGTTTAACGTCTCATCCGAAATACTTTTTTGCTTTTTGTCAGTATAGTGTCCCCGTCACTACACTGGGGCGTTAGGACCCACACAGACCACAGGGTGAGCACCCCCTGCTGGCCTCACTAACACCTCTTCCAGCAGCAACCTAGTTTTCCCAGGAGGTCTCCCATCCAGGTACTGACCAGGCTCAACCCTGCTTAGCTTCAGTGGGCAACCAGTCTTGGGCAGAGTGATATGGCTACTATTTTACTATTTTAAATGTAAAATAACACTATTGTGTTCGGGGCTTGAATTTCGGTGCAGGATTGCATAATTCTACTAATTCCTGCATTTTCCGCGCTTGTAACGTGGAAAATTCCCGCATTACTTTTTATTTTACAAGAGAATATCTGAGGTACTTTATTTTTCCAATTTATTGATTGACAGCTCTCCTGTCCCCATGTTGAGAGAAATCAGAAGATGTTGCTGTAGTTCTAAAATAAATATGAATAGGCATTATTCAAACAACTTGTAAAGTGAATTTTGCATCCGATGACCCCTTTAACACTTTAATATTTGAAATTTATATTAATCTAGCTGTTTTTGCTGTGGTATTTTTTTTTTTAAAGCATAGGCAAAATTCCTCTTGCAGTGTTCTGTAGGCTGCTGATTTTTGCTCGTGTTATTGAGCTGCAACAGAATGCTTTGTAAAAAGACAAAATAAATGTTGACTTAATTTTTTTTATATTGGATTTTTTATCTTATTGGAATCAAAACTAGGAATCGATAAGAATCGGAATCGATAAGCAGAATCTGAATCGGAATCGATAAAATTTAAACGATACCCAACCCTAAATGTTAAACAACACAAATATCCTTTATGTATTTAATCCCATTCTATTAACCAATGTCTTTGCTTCTGACCTTTGATGATCCAGTTCAACCATACTAATAAACAAAAATTACTCTAGACAAACATTTGTGTGTCTTTTTTAATTGCTGAAGTGTGTTGAAATTTCTTCTTCTGCATTCTACCTTACGGAAGTAAATTTACTTTCCCTTCAGCCTGAGGCTTATTTATTTCACTTTTGGTGTGAAAAGGCTTTTATATTTGCCAAAAATATAACTTTTTTATTTTAAAAACAAAC